GCTGCGGGAGGGACGGACGGAGAGGAGGTGGGGGTCTCTCCGAGCGTCTGCTACGCCGGCGAATGCAAACGAGGCAATCTGCTCGACTTCGTACGGGAGACGAGTGAAGAAACGCGAGTGAGTGCGCGCGGCGGGATTGTCAGGTGGTGACGGCACTCACACAAACGGCTACCTAATGACTCGATTTATTCAAATGCCGCCCAGTTCCTCCTAATGGTGTCTTCCAGCTGCATTTCCCCTCGCAGCTCTCGCTCTCTCTCTCCCAGTCTGAGTGAACGTGGTGTTTAAGGGTCCTAATCCCTCGGAGGGACCCTCGCATCTCGACACCGCGGCCCGCGGGAACCCCCGTGTTGCTCAAGCATCTGATCAGGCTCTGAAACAGCTGCCAGATCCGTCGAGATCCCGCTAACAAACATCCCGCTTGTGCTTTAACAACAGCGGCTGATAGCTGCGGGAGAACGCTAAGTGACTGTGTTCAGAGTGAGACACCAGCATATTACCTACCTAATAACACCAATGATCACTTATTCATTGATAATATTTAATATTATTTATTAAATAACTAATAATTACTAAATACATGGAGAACATGGATGTATAATACAATCTGTGCAATACAAGTTTATATTTACAAAGTAATACAAATTATATTGTTATTTATATAATACAGTTTGTGTAATACAAGATGTGAAAAAGTCTGTAATACAAGCTTATATTTACAAAGTAATACCAATTATATTATATTATTATTTCTTATATAACTATTATATTTTTATTATTTTTGCTTTTTTGTGTTTTCTACTGTAATGTTACTCTGAAGTGGTATGTATTTAAAAAAGCACTATATAAATAAAATTGAAATATGAATTAATACTTAATATTAAATATTAAGTAATTACTAATAATTAAATATTAAATAATTACTAAATCACTAAATAAAGAACATGGCTGATATATATATATATATATAGTATGTAATAATATAATATTACATACAATTATAAAATAACTAAATTACTATGAATTGATAGTTTTAGACAATATTAGATTACACACACACACACACACACACACACACTATATTGTTATATGAATATATAGTAATTTATTTAGAATACAACTATAAGTACTACATACAATAAGTATAATTTAATATACTAATTAGTATAATAAAATATACTTATATATAGTAACTATAGTTTTATTATAAGTAAATTAATTATGAATAAATTATTATAAAAGAAAACTTTAGTAATTCATAATAACTTACTTATTTTACTCAACAACAACAAACAAAAACTTCCTTCCTTTATATATATATATATATACACTACTGCTCAAAAGTTTGGGATCAGTAAGACTTGTAATGTTTTTTAAAGAAGTCTCTTCTGCTCATCAAGGCTGCATTTATTTGATCAAAAATACAGAAAAAAACAGTAATCTTGCAAAATGTTATTACAATATAAAATGATAGTTTCTATTTTAATATCCTTTAAAATATAATTTATTTCTGTGATCCCTACCAATATAAATCTTTGCTATCACTTCTTGTCAATTGAACACATCCTTGCTGAACAAAAGTTTGAATTGCTTTCAAAAAAATAAAGAATACAATTTTACTGACCCCAAACTTTTGAACGGTAGTGTATATGGTTAGAAAAGATTTCTATTTTAAATAAATGCTCTTCTTTTTAACTTTTTCCCCCATCAAAGAATCCTAAAAAAAAGTAGCACAGGTTCCAAGAAAATATGAAGCAGCACAACAGTTTCCAGCACTGATAATAAATCAGCATATTAGAATGATTTCTGAAGATCATGTGACACTGAAGACTGGAGTAATGATGCTGAAAATAAGTCTTACTGATCCCAAACTTTGGAGCGGTAGTGTATATATATATATATATTGATGTAGTCTCCCGTTCACAGCTATAGCAGTTCACCCAACTATGATGACTTCCGCTTCTAAGAAACCCGGAAATGTGAAAAGGGTCCATTACTTCCAGTTCATTCATCACACTGGAAATGGAAGGTCGAGTCAAGCTCATTGCACTGTGAGATACAGTATTTCACTGAGTAAGGTCTATATACTGGACATTTTATCAAATGTGCACATTATATATTTTATAGTGCTGCCGCGCTACTATCGCGCGTCACATGTTAGCACTCACCTTGCAAAGGGTGACTGTTTTCATCTGTTTGCTAATATGTCAAACAAAAGTGTAAATACTCACTGTTTGTTTATGAGCTCAATTGAAAGCGTTGATCTGTGACGACAGATTTTCATGTAGAGTCTGATGATAGAAATAAAAAAACAAAAAAACAATGTATGTTTGAAATGAGGGTGTGGAAATAAAAGCATGAAATAAGCAAGTCTATAATACAAAAGAAAATAATAAATCATTAAACGCAGCAGTGGGTTTGTCGTAGGCGGGAGCGATTGCGATCCAGAGATCTTCTACATGAGATAACCTAATTCCCCATAATCCCTGGGCAAATATGACTCCAGCTAATCTCTGCATCAATATTTGCCTTCCGTTTTTAATTATCACATCAAACAGAGTGCAGTACGATCAGAGCGAGCGCCATTGCTAAGCCGCACAACATTTTTAGTGTTGTCCTGTTTGCGCTGCATTGACATTTGGCAACAACAGCGAGGGATTATTTGGCGTTCGACATACGGGTCGCCAGAAAACTCAGCGGTGGCCAAACTCCAAACGTACTTCCTCAACCACACGCTATCCAGGGTTTTCCTGAAGTTCCCTGTGATTCAGAGCGGAATGGAATTATATTCCAAGAAGTGCATATACTGTAACTACCACACTCTCAGAAAAATAGGTACAAAAGCTGTCATTGGGGTGCTTCCCGAAGTGCAAAAGCACATCTCTGTACCTTCTTTACCCCTAAATAGAGCATATTAGTATCTTAAATGTAAAATTAGTACTTCAAAAGTACTTATTAGCCAATAAAGTGTACATGAGTACCTTTTGAAATGATACCACTCCAGTCACAGTTTTGTACTTTTTTTCTAAGGTCAAAGAAAAGACAAAGTCACAAACAGTGAAGAGCAGAATGAGAAAACAGGCAGACGGAAGTCGGTTCTGATAGTTTGGATTCACAAGAGTTTCTGAATCTCACTGAAGAAACAGATGAACACAATACATATAATGTCCGGGACTGTTCCCGTGCTCAGCAAGTCCCAGTGATTTACACAGCGTTGGGATTTATAGCGCTTTGAAAGAACATAATAACACTTGCAAACATAATAATCAGCTGGAAAAATAGAGAAAAAAAATCCCTGCCTTTGTTATCTTACAATTACTATTGTGTACTTTATTGCATAATGGGTCTCAACAGTGCAGTTAATGGTATTACTGGCATAAGACCAGCACTTGGCTTGTAAATAAACATAATGGCACTTTTTAATAAATTACTTCACCTCGACACAACAATAATTTAATCACCCTTATGAAAGAGGGACAGGTTGACAATGCTGGATTTATGATGTTATAGATTAGTCATCATCATTACTCTTGGATCTGTAATATATTTCTCAGATGAATTTGCTAATGTGCAGTCGCTGGCTAAAATGAATATTGGCCGGCCACCGCGCTCTTAAAACGCTGGACCGCGTTCAGGATCTTTGGAAAGCAGAGAGACGGGATTCATATGCTCAGATCTCAGGCCTCGCCGATGCTTGGCTTTGCATTTATGGCGTTTGATTTAAGTAACCTCGCTTTTACCTTAAAATACTGCTTTTATGTTCTGTGTTCTGCATCTTTGAGATTAATAAAATGGGTTGAGAACTTCACTTTTTGGCCTCAGAATATTTTAAGCGCAGGCTTTTATATTTTACAATTTCTGTAAGACTGCGAGTTACATTTATTGGCATTTATATATATATATATATTCATACAATATGTAAATAAGTAACTTTTATATAAATATTTAATTATAATTAAATATTTTAATTAATTAATTACTTCAAATAATTTAGTTAAATAACTGAATGATTAATATTATAATTAATTTGTTAATGTTATCTCTTTTTTTGTAAGTTTATATGTAAGTTTATTTTATATATCCTTCTGTGGTTGGTATTTTGTAATGTTTTAGAAAGAAGTCTCTTCTCACTAAGGCTGCATTTATATTTGATCAAAAATACAGTAAAAACAGTAAAAAATGTGAAATATTATTATAATTTAAAAAAAATGTTTTCTATGTGAATATATTGTAAAATGTAATTTATTCTTGTGATGTAAAGCTGAGTTTCCAGCATCATTACTCCAGTCTTCAGTGTCACATGATCCTTCAGAAATCAGTATAATTTGCTGATTTGATGTTCATGAAACATTTATTATTATTATCAATGCTGAAAACAGTTGTGATGCTTCATATTTTTGTGAAAATTGTGATACATTTTATCAGGATCAGGATTCTTTGATGAACATAAAAAACAATGAACATAATAAAAAAATAGACCTAATAATAAAATAAAATAAATTAATTAATAATAATAATAAAACTGACGGCATATTTTGAAATATGCTGCTGTATTTCTTTGTATAATGAACAGTTTTCCAACATCTATAAACTGAAAATGTTGAGGGTGTTTGTGTAGTCAAATTATTGATGAATGCATGAAATGCTTTGCAGTAATGCACTCTATATAATTTTGCTCTCTCCTCTCTCTGAGTTATAAGCTGTGTTTTATGAAGGGCAGGTTTTTTAAATGACTTGATATGGAAGCTAACGTTGATATCGACTTCTGACTGACGGCACGTCAGCAAAATTTCATGGTGTGGAAATTCTGCATTTTTTTTTTTTGCAAATGTGTAAACGTATGGATGAACTAAATATAGGCGAGCGTTTCATGGTGGCAGATTGGGTTTCATCCTGCTCACACACACATGCCCTGAATGATAAAGGTGACCTGATGGGTTTGATTTCAGCTGATTGATTGAACCAGGAAGAGAGAAAGAGACGCTGAGAGGTCAGTGTTCCCAGGACCGGCCAGACCTGCTGACTGGCACCTGCTTTACTGCCAGAAAACACAGACAGATCACCTCACAAACAAACTATTAGATACAATATCTAAACGGGCTTTGCAATGGTAGTTTCTTTAGGAGCTGACACTGCTTGAGAGATGTTCACATTGCAAACTCGTTGTATTTGCCACCAGCGTTATTATTGTTAAAGGCAGGGTAGGTGATTTGGTTCAAAAACATGTTTTGTTCTGCTGGTTGAAAGTCTCTTCACATCCCAATAACTACTAAGTTAAGTGCTCTAAATGTATTTATATGTATTTATATCATCTGTGGAAGGCATAGGACCATAAAATGTTCGTCCAATCATATCCCTCGGTTCCGAGGATTACGATAGGCTGTTCTACCTGCCTGGAGAGAGATGTGCAGGGTGGGTGGGATCTTATGCTTTCAAAGCTAGCTTGCTATTGCTAGCCTCTCTGAAATCGCCATCCTACCTTTAACTAAAACTAAAGCTGAAACAGAAAACATTTCCATTGTTTGAAACAAACATGAAGTGAAATAAAATATAACAAACTTTTATTTCACCATCTCGGTTTAATTTAGATTAAATTGATGTACCAAAATAACTAAAACTGAAAAATAATAATAATAAAATAATGAAATTGTTCATTGTTCCCTGAAAATTAATTTAGCTAATTTCTGATCAAACAGACAGACAGACAGACGGATAGACAGACAGACAGACAGACAGACAGACAGATAGATAGATAGATAGATAGAAAGACAGATAGACACAGACAGACAGACAGACAGACACAGACAGACAGATAGATAGATAGACACAGACAGATAGACAGACAGACAGACAGATAGATAGATAGACACAGACAGATAGACAGACAGACAGACAGATAGATAGATAGACACAGACAGACAGATAGACAGACAGACAGACAGAACAAATAAAATAAGAAAAAAAAGAAAAAATTCCATGACATATACTTTCATTTTTTAGTCAACAGTCTGTCATATTCATAACTGCGGTGGCTGTCGTTTTTATATGCAGTCATCACTTACTCCTGTAGATTTTAATAGCTGTATATTGTTTTAACACATGTGAATTCAGTTCTCAAAGACGCGCTCAGGTTTATTAGCACACAAGTTCTGCTGCAGACAAATATAAATACATGATTTGACATCATCCTGTCACCTGATACCAGATCACTTGCATTTCCTGTTTATGTTCTGACTGATCAACATGAGTCTGCTGGTGTCCAATTACCCATGATTCACTCACTCAATTAAATCATTAATGAAAGCATGAAAACAAACAAGACTGTCTGTGTGTGAAGCCTGTGTCACTTTGAAATAGGACTACCAAAAAACAAACAAACAAACAAACAAAAAACAGTATTATATGGAATTAGTTTAATATAAAATCTTTGTGTAAGTATTATTATTATTATTATTAAGAAAGTCAGATACTTCTTTTACAGATATGGTACTTGGTGAATGTGAGAATAAAATATAAAACAGCAGGTTTATTGATGTCGCTATAATCTAACAGGTGTTGATGAGCGTGTCACGCAGCTGCATCTGATTGGCTGATTGGCAGGTACTACTGGCTTATTAATTAAATCATCTTCAGCAATTAGCTTGAGCTTTGAGACCCTGTATAATGACAGTCATTGCCGAGAGTGTGTGTGTGTCCATGACACTGACCCTCCCCTGTGCCTCTAATTAAACAAGAGCCCATTAAAATGATTGTGTGTGTGTTCATTATAAAGTCAGTGATCAGACGGCTGAATAAGACTCACCTTCACGAGGAATGAGAACCTGCTACAGTCTTACAAACACTTACTGCATTACACACACACACACACACACACACACACAGCCAGCATATATTCAGAATGATACTGTCAAACCATCAACATGTGCTGTATCAAGGGAAAGCAACCTGATAAAAATTCACAAAACATCCATGAAAATTTTATCACACCCTGTATTCTTAAAATCATATGTCCCTGTAATGCTGCTCTGGGATCAGATGTCCCATATTCATTCTCTGTTCATATTTGCTTCTACTATAGTATATACAGTCTATGCCCATATGTTCTGATTCGCTCACACCTACTTACACTATATGATGAATCACACTGGGAGATTCACAGACTTTGACAGCAGAGCTACACTTTGTATTACTTTGTAGCGGGTAGCAGAATTTCAAAAATCAAACCTATGATCTACTGCATTGATTGTAAGATGCGTGTTAATGCAATGCAGCGGGATGTGTTTATATGAGTGG